ACACGCCGAACAGCCCGGGCTCCGTGGCCTTGAGCAGCTGGTACGACAGCCAGGCGTTCTGGCCCGAGTCGCCGTCCACCGCCACCACCTTGGTCACCAGGTAGCCCGCCTCGGCCTGCCTGGGCAGCAGCTCGGTGCAGGGCGCAGAGCCGTTCTGCAGCGGGTACAGCACGAAGGGCGCGTTGTCGTTGTCGTCCAGCAGCACCACGCGCACCAGCGCGTCGCTGCTCAGCGCGGGGGAGCCTCTGTCTGCCGCGCCCACGCGGAACTCGAACGCCCGCAGGGCCTCGTAGTCCAGCGAGCGCAGGGCGAACAGGTGTCCGCTGTCCGCGTTGATGGACACCAGGGAGGCGAGGGCCAGCTGCGGGTCATGGGTGGGCAGCAGCGAGTAGGTGACCTGGGCGTTGGCGCCCGAGTCTCTGTCTGTGGCGCTGACGCTGCCGATGTGCAGGGCGGGGCTGTTGTTCTCGCGGACGAACAGGGTGTAGGAGGTTTGTGTGAAGGCGGGGGCGTTGTCGTTGACGTCGGAGACCTGCACGGTTATGCTGTGCTCGGTTTTGAGCCTGGGCGTCCCCAAGTCGGTGACGGTGATGGTGATGTTGTACTCGGCTCTTGCTTCTCTGTCTAGTGCACTCTCTGTTATTAAGGTATAAAAGTTCTTGACCGAATATTTTAGAAGAAAAGGAAGGTCTTCCTGGATGGAGGTAACGGTCTTCCCGTTGTTCCCAGAGTCAGGATCTGAAACACTGAAAACAGCAACTACAATCTCAGGGGAGTTCTCTGGGATGGGGCTGGAGAGTGCAGACATTGTCACTTCTGGGGGATTATCATTCACATCCCCCACCTGCAGAAGAAGAGTGCACTTTCCTGAAAGACCTCCCCCATCCGTGGCCTTGACGTCCACTTCATAAGACTGAACTGTTTCAAAATCTACTTGTTTTCTCAGCCGAATTTCTCCTGTCATAGGATTTACCTCCAAAGTTTCGCTAATATCTTTCGAAGGCTGAAAGAGTGTGTATGATATTTTACCATTGGCTCCGCTGTCTAAATCGCTGGCAGAAACAGTGACAACCAGGGAGCCTACCGGGCTGTTTTCAGGAATCTGCACCGTGTAGATCAGCCGCTCAAACTCAGGGGCGTTATCATTGATGTCCATCACTTCAATGAGGACCTGGACAGTCCCAGACCGGGGTGGAGAGCCGCCATCCAGCGCCGTCAGGGTTAATCTTAGCTCGGGCTCCTCCTCCCGATCCAGTTCTTTATCCATCACCAGCTCAGGGTATTTTGTGCCATCCTTGCGTTCGCGAGTTAGAACGCGGAAATGGGAGTTGGGACCGATCCTATAGTTCTGAACATTATTGTTTTCTACGTCCATATCCAGAGCATTATTCAGAGGAAACGCATTTCCTAGAGGACTGTTTTCCGGTATTTTTAGAATCATTTCTCTTTCAGTGAACACGGGAGAATGGTCATTTATGTCTCTCACTCTCAGTTCAGCCTGAAATATCTCTAAAGGTTTTTCCATTAACACTTGGAAATGTAGTATACAAGGCTCAGTAGGACCGCATAGCTCCTCTCGATCTAATTTCTCATTTATGAGCAAATCTCCAGTTTGAACCTTGAGCTGCAAATGCTCTTTTTTCCCCTGGGAAATGATCCGGGCCCCGCGGGTGGACATCTCCGTGAATCCCAACCCTAGGTCTTTTCCTAGATTTGCCACAAAGGAGCCTCTCTCCATTTCTTCCACTACCCAATAGGGCCCCAACTCGGCGCTCGCCCCAGACATGCTCAGGAAAACAAAGAAAATTAGGACTTGCCTTTGTCTCAGATTGCACATCCATCTGGTCTCCATTGCTTTTTCCTGAAGAGTTGGTTCACAGGAGCTTCATGTATGCCCCGGATCCTGGGAGTACGGTCTTGCAGTCCTGAATGTCAGAACTAAACCGCTAAATATAGGTTTGTAGATTGTCACACTCCCTTCTGCTGTGGCTGAGAAAGCTATTCTTTTGCTTCCAGGTGCTACGAAACAGGCTGGATACTGGAGCTGCGTAGGCAATTCTGTTTTCCATCATCTTAACCTGCAGCGCCACCACGCGTTCTCACTGAGTCTTATATTTTCTGGTTTAACACTGAAGGCAAAATTCTTCTAACTGTACCGAGTATGCTATGTAATATAAAACACTAAGTTCTATTTTCATGTGGTTTTTGAATGTACAGACAACTCTGTGGTGTCGCATAGGGAGGGAGAACAGAGAGCAAACTGTCACGTTATTGACTGTATAATGCTGTCGAGGTGTTAATAATGAAATAAAATAATTCAATTAACATTTAAGCTGAGCAGATTATACACTTAGGAGAAAAATGTTTCTGAAGTAATATGGGAGCCGTTTCACAAGTACATCTTTTCCACAGTACATACTAGAGAATTACAAGTGAGTGGGCACTACAAAATTGCAATCAGTGGCAGTTCTAGAGTGTATTTAATCAATGCTTTATTGCAAAATGATTATTTCCTTTTCTTTCCAACACCTAAACTTGAGAACTGTGAGTTTTCACAGTTTTCAAATTATTGGAAAATTACTTCCCAAATAGGCATATCTCAAAGTTGGGCCTGCCACAAATTTGGATTCCTTTTTTTTTCTTTTAAATCATAATAAGAATAATTTTTTAGTCTTTAAAAAACACCTTTAATAAGATATAATTCACCTACCAAACAATGTACCAAACAGGCTATGTATGTGTAAATTCAGTTTATTTAAAGTGTGCAATTCAGTGGATTTTAATATATTCACAGAGTTGTACATTAATTATCACAGTAAATTTTAGAGCATTTTCATCACCTCAGAAAGAAATCCTATATCCTTTGTCATCTCTCTATTCTCTCATCTCTCCACCCTCTACCCTAAGAACCATTAATCTACTTTTGTCCCTACAGTGTTCTTTATTATTCTAGAATTTTATATGAATGGAATATAATATGTGGACATTGTGATCAGCTTCTTTCACTTAGCATAATGTTTCAAGGTTCATCGAAATTGTAGCATGTATCAGTACTTCATTTCTTCTTATGGTTGAATAATATTCTGTTGTATAATTACATCACATTTTGATGATCCATTCATCTGATGATGGACATTTGGATATTATAAATAATGCTGCTATGAATATTTATGTACAAGTGTTTGTATGGACATATGTTTTCATTTCTGTAGGTGTGGAATTGCTGGATCATATGGTATTTTTGTTTAATTGTTTGAGAAATTGCCAGACTGTTTTCCAAAATGGCTGTACCATTTTACATTCCCACCAGCAGTGTATCAGGGTTCCATTTTTTACACATCCTCCCAACACTTGTTGTGATCTGACTTTTTGGTTCTAGCCATCCTAGTGAGTATGAAGTGATATCTTGTGATTTTGATTTTTATTTCCCTGATGATACTGATGTCGAACATTTTCTTATGTGCTTATTGGCTATTTGTATATCTTTTTGGAGAAATGTTTATTCTAGTCTTTGCTTATGTTTTAATTGGGTTATTTGGCTTTTTATAATTGAGTGTTGAGTTCTATATATATTCTGGATACAAATCCCTTATCAAATTTGAATCCTTTTGTCCAGGTTTTCCATTTCCATAATTTGAATTGAATTTCAGTAAAGATTCATGAACTTTTTCAGTTCAATGTTTTTATAGTGATTTTTGGAAGCTTGTTAATTATCTTCTCTTGAATTCAAATGTCTAATCAATGAGGCCTAAACTCCTGCTTTGAATGCCCTCCTTTGACCACAGGTGGTACTGCTAGACTGGATAATTTTCTTCTAAGCAGCCAACCTGTGGTAGATAGAATAATGCTCACTCAAAGATATCCCAAAATCTGTACATATGTTATCTTACATGGCAAAAGTTCTTTACAAGTGTGATTAAATTAAGGCCATTACGAAGAAATTATCTTGTACTCTCTCTCTGGGTGAGACAGAACCTTCCCTGTCTATGGTCAGAGGAGACTTGACTGTTAAAGAACAGTCAGATGGCTGGCTTTGAAGAACCAAGTAATGTGGGCAGCATCTAGAGGCTGGAAAAGGCAAAGAAATGGATCTCCTCAAGAGCCACCAGAATGGAATGCATCCCTCCTGTCACCTTGATTTTAGCTCTGTTAGACCCATATTGGACTTTAATCTACATACTGCAAGGTAATATATTTTTTATTGCTTCAAGAAACTAAGTTTGTGGTAATTTTTTTTCAGCAGCAATAGAAAACTAATGTATAACACAAGCATGGGTTCTCAAGCACCCAGCAGCTGAGTCCACAAAAATTTATCACTTCTACAAGAATAGTATTATCACAGCAAATGCTGAAGGATGTCAGATTCAGCTCTGATGAGTCATTCTTTTAGAATAAAGTTACTTGACCCCCACACATATTTTTTTCAGAATAATTTTTAAGAGAAGTTTACAAAGACATGTGTTTATTTTTTAACAGAAAATAACTGGAGCCCATCATTCCCTACTAAATTTCCAGAATTTCTAAGTTATTTAGTGATAAAAAAATTCCTTCACAAACATTACCTATACTTTTCTGAAATTAGTTATTTCATTTAGAATTAATACTAGAATAGCAACTGCTTTCAAACAAATGGTATGCTAAAATACAGTATATTTAATCTGAATAAAGGACTTACAAAAATGTATGTAATAAAGCAAGTTTCAACTTCCCACAGAAGACAAATCATAATTATAAATATATCTATTAGGGTTAACAGAAAAGGACTAAAAAAAGAACATGAGAAATTCAAGAAATGCAACCACAGGGTAACTCTACTCCCTATTTAGGGTGCTCATTTCTGCAATAATGAATGTGACACATTGAGAGTGTACAGGAATATAATGAGGCTGATTCACATGAAGATCAACTGTGATGTCTGACCCAACTTACTTAGGTCAGTACATCTAGAAGAACTTTGGCCCCATACCAGCCAGCTGTCAACAAACAAACAACAACAAAACCAAGAAGAACAGCAAAGAACTTTGGGTTTATTGATCTAGAGTGGTACAGTCATCAGTATAGAAAGAAATACAAACTATAGACTGAAAGTTCTATTTCTACATGAGAGTTTAGTGTATAGGAGTAAGAATAATAGATGGATTTTACTTCCTTAGTTAGGAAAACAGGGCTACCAGTTAATGCCTGCCAATAGAGCATATTGGTTAAAAACTGAGGCATTAGATTTGGGTAGACATAGATTACATTTCGATTTTTTCCTTTTATTACTGCAGAATTATGAGCAAGTTACTTAATCTTTCTACACCTCAGTTTTCTCATATGTAAAAAAGGGGATAATATGCCAATCTTCTTAGGTTTTGGAAAAAGATTTAAAAGCCAATGAATGTAAAGCACTTTGTGTACTACATTTAACTACATTAGAAATCAAGAAATAAAAGCTGAAAAAGATCAGTCAGATCAAACTGCACAGTCAAATTTTACTGTTAAAGAATTATGATTACATTCCACTGGTGGAAGCATAAAAACTAAAATCATGGTGGCTTACATGGGATAGAAGTTCCTTTATTTCTTAAGCAAAAAAATGTTCAGAAGTAAGCAGTGCAGGGATGACATGATGACTCCATGGTCACCAGGGACCCCAGTGTCTTTTGAGTTTATTCTGTACTGATTGTCTTAGTCCATTGTTTCCATTATCAGGTTCTAACATTGCTGTTTTTGTACCAGGCATGAAATACACATTTCAGGCAGCAAGAAGCAGTTAAAGAAGGAAAAAATGGGACCCCTTCCTAGATGAGTCAACTCTCCTTAAACAGTCTTCTTGAAGGTCTCCTACAAATATGTATACACATCTCATGGGCTACAATCTAGTCATATGTCAGGTTCCAGCTGCCAAAGAGGCTGTGACAATGTATTCTTTTAACTAAGCAGACTAAAGCCCTAAATGAAATTTCGGATTTGTTATTGAAGAAAATATAAATGAATATTGGGTGGCCACTGCAGTTTCTGTCACACATGGGTCAATGTTTCTCAAGGAGGAAAAGCCAATTTTATTATCATGCACTTCATTACACTAGATAAATGTGATGAAGGTTTCTCCTCTTTTAACACCAGAGAAAGTAAATGAAAAACAATTTAAAATAATTATAACTAATACTGACATATTTTTAAGGAAGCACAATTATGTAACATTTTAAGAGAAAACAGCATCAAAGAAGATTAGTGTATGAGGGCAGAATAAAGCAAGAGCCACACCTCACTAAACCAGTTCTCTTGCTTTCCTGACTAGACTTCAGTGTGTTAGTGCATTACTGCTCTGTATATACCTAATAATTTAGGAATTAATAAGAAAACCTACAAGGAACTAAAATTGATTATATAGGGTTAATTTTCCACTGTTTCCCCTCCTTATACATTCCTAAGCTGTTGCAGAAAAAGAATTTATACAAATACTGACCTCATTACTTTTTGAGAGGCAAGAAGTAGGACCATTCGGATTGGTATAGTCATGCAAAGAGATGAGATACCATTTTTCAAATATAGTGACAACATGAGAAAGCCTGCAGTCAAGTTTAGGGTAATTTAAAAATTCCCAATAGGCTGACAGAAAAAAACATCACGTCGAATTTATCCTAAAAAATTAAAATGTGGAATATAAAAACCAATTATTTTAACTGAAGGCTGAAACCAAAGTCATTCCTAAACTTGGAGTTTTCTTCCACTTCTGGCTCAGGGGAATGGCCCTGGAAATTAGACATAATCGGCTTCAGGAACTTGAACTCGCTGGTCCCTGACTCTCCCATCAGACACACCTCATACTGGTACCTCTGGGACAGGGTCCCCGTACCGCTGACGTCCATCAGGTGGCCCGGAAAGCGGCCCCCAGGCACCGAGCAGCGACCCTCCGACACCGCCCCGCGCCTCCTGCACAGCCGCACCGCAACCAACAGGAGCACCGAGGACAGGAAGAGCGAGGTGACCGAGGCCAACGCGATGACCAAGTAGACGGTGAGCGAGTCGGCCTGCGCCTGCTCCGGCGCCGCTTCCGGCAGCGGCAGGTAGGGCTGCGAGAAGCCGTCCACCAGCAGCACGTGCAGCGTGACGGTGGCCGACAGCGGCGGCTCGCCATTGTCCTTGACCAGCACCAGCAGTCTGTGCCTGGCCGCGTCGCGCTCGCTCAGCAGCCGGGCCGTGCGCACCTCGCCGTTGTGCGCCCACACGCCGAACAGCCCGGGCTCCGTGGCCTTGAGCAGCTGGTACGACAGCCAGGCGTTCTGGCCCGAGTCGCCGTCCACCGCCACCACCTTGGTCACCAGGTAGCCCGCCTCGGCCTGCCTGGGCAGCAGCTCGGTGCAGGGCGCAGAGCCGTTCTGCAGCGGGTACAGCACGAAGGGCGCGTTGTCGTTGTCGTCCAGCAGCACCACGCGCACCAGCGCGTCGCTGCTCAGCGCGGGGGAGCCTCTGTCTGCCGCGCCCACGCGGAACTCGAACGCCCGCAGGGCCTCGTAGTCCAGCGAGCGCAGGGCGAACAGGTGTCCGCTGTCCGCGTTGATGGACACCAGGGAGGCGAGGGCCAGCTGCGGGTCATGGGTGGGCAGCAGCGAGTAGGTGACCTGGGCGTTGGCGCCCGAGTCTCTGTCTGTGGCGCTGACGCTGCCGATGTGCAGGGCGGGGCTGTTGTTCTCGCGGACGAACAGGGTGTAGGAGGTTTGTGTGAAGGCGGGGGCGTTGTCGTTGACGTCGGACACCTGCACGGTTATGCTGTGCTCGGTTTTGAGCCTGGGCGTCCCCAAGTCGGTGACGGTGATGGTGATGTTGTACTCGGCTCTGATCTCTCTGTCGAGCGCTCCTTCTGTTAGAAGGGTGTAAAAGTTTTCCACGGAAGATTTCAGGAAGAAGGGTAGATTGTCCTGAATGGAGCAACTTATTTTCCCGTTTTCTTCCGAATCAAGGTCTGAAACACTGAAAACTGCAACCACAGTCTCAGGCGAGTTCTCAGGGATTGGACTGGTAAACGAAGACATGGTAACTTCTGGGGCGTGGTCGTTCACATCCATGACTTCAGTCAGAACGATGCATTTTCCAGAAAAGCTCCCAGCATCTCTCGCCTCGATATTGACTTCATAAGACTGAATTGTTTCAAAATCAAGTTGTTTTTTCAGCCTAATTTCTCCTGTCGAGGGATTGATCTCAAAGGTTTTGCTAACCTCATCTGAAGCCTGGAAAAGTGAATAGGAAATCTCTCCATTGACTCCGATGTCTACATCCGTAGCAGAGACTGTGACTATCAGGAAACCTATCGGGCTATCCTCAGGGATCCGCACCCTATAGAAAGGCTGCTCAAATTCAGGGGCATTATCGTTGACGTCCACGACTTCGATGTAGACCTGCGTGGCGCCAGACCGGGGCGGGGAGCCGCCGTCCTGTGCTGTGAGAGTTAACCTGAGCTCGGGTTCCTCCTCGCGGTCCAGCGCTTTGTCCAGCACCAACTCGGGATATTTCCTGCCATCGCTGCGTTTGCGGGTGAGCACTCGAAAATAGGAGTTCGGACTGATCACATAGTTCTCAATATTATTTCGGCCTACATCCAAGTCCTGAGCGTTCTTTAGAGGAAAGGTAGTCCCGGGAGGACTGCTCTCCGATACTTTTAGCAACATTTCTTTGTCCAGGAACACCGGAGAGTGGTCATTTATGTCTATTACTTGTAGCTCAGCTTGAAAAAACTCTAAGGGACTCACTAGCAACACCTGGAAACGTAGCACACATGGCTCTGTTTGACCGCACAGTTCCTCGCGGTCCAGTTTTTGATTTAGCAACAAATCCCCGGTCTCCTGATCGAGCTGCAAATGTAGTTTGTTCCCTTTGGAAATGACCCTAACCCCCCGCCTGGAGAGTTCCCTCTGCTCCAGACCCAGGTCCTTTGCTAAACTGGTTACAAAGGAGCTGCCCTCAGTTTCCTCCACCACAGAATAGCGCCTAGGTTCCGCATTGCCCGCCAGAGATAAGCCCAAGAGGAGAAAGAAAAAAAGGACTTGCCTTTGTCTGCAAGTGAGTTTCCCGCCGGCCTCCATTGTTCTTGCTTGGTACAGCTACCTGCGAGGATGGCTCTGCTGAACTGTAAAATCTCCGATATCTGAGACTGTGGTTATTCCACGAGATACCTCCGAAATATTCCGGTGAGTAGTCCCTTTCAGAGGACCCAGTCGTCCTTTCTGTGGTGTCCAAGCTTCCCGTGTGCTTCCAGGACCTGCTGGTAAGCTTTGCCAGTGAATGGAGCCGCAGCTGCAGTTCCTGTTTGTCCCTTCTTATCCTGCAGCGCCACCACGCGTCCTCACAGGATCTTACATTTTGTGGGATGAAAATTGAAGCAATATTCCTAACTCTGCCATTACGTACCACCAGACTATGTAAAGTTACATCATCTCTACTATCGCCAGACTTTGTTGGGCAGACAACTGCCTGAAGGTCACACAAGAGAAATGACATTAGTGGGGACTCTTCCAATAATGCTGAGTTTGGGGGCAAAAAGAAAATATATAGGTAACAATCTGGCTGTGAAGAAAGAATATATGCAGAAAAACAAAAACATGTAAAATTGGGGTAACATAGAAAGCTTTCAGAATTATATACTTTTATTGCCATAAGCAATAGGAATAATTCGTAGCTGTGAATCTTGGACAAATTATTTAACCTCTCTCTGCCTTAGTTTCCTCATCTGCAAGGTGAGGATAATAACAGTACGACCACATAGGATTGTTGTGAATTCCCCACCCTACAAATGAGGAAACTGATGCAGAGGATATTAACCTTTTAAATAAACTATGTATATACGGCAATTTGATGCCACCATGTAGCTGAGTCTGCATGAATCCATTGCCATAACTAGAAAACACCTCAAAATTCACATGGTAGAAGAATGCATGAGCAGGACTATCTCAGGTAGAAGTTATCATGTCAAATGATGAAGGTGACTGAACAGGGAAAAGCTGGAGAATTTGTCTAAATAGAGGTATAATCTGTGACAGCAGTGGTAGTTCTGTATCTCAGAAGGATGTCTTTTTTTTTTTTTTTTTTTTTTTTGGTTACCTCCACTTCTCACAGCATCTGTTTTTAAAAATCTTTTAATTAAAAAAAATTTAAACCCCATAAAAGGATAGTATGATGAACCCCCATGTACTTATCACTAGCTTCAACAAGTATCAATATTTTGTCATGATTCTTTAACCCTCCAACATTTTTACATCCTAGGCAAACTGAATTTTCATCCAAAAATACATTATACCTTTCTGTTAATGACTTTTTAAAATTTCTTAACGATAATGCCATTATCATACCTAAGAAATTAAGTTGGGCTTGCCAGTTAGCTCAGTTGGTTACAGCACAGCCTTGAAACAACAAGGTCAAGGGTCTGGGTGCCCATACCAGCCAGCCATCAAAAAAGAAGCGGGAGGAGGAGAAATTAAGTTATTTAATATCCACCTACATTCAGATATCTGCACTTCTTTCAAAGTCATTGTTGTTTGAATTAAGATCCACGACATATTGCATTTGGGGGAGAGAGGATGGGGGGCTGGCTGGTACGGGGAATCAAACCCCAGACCTTGGTGTTAATCAGCGACACCCTCTAACCAACTGAGCTAATGAGCCAGTCCCACACATGGTGTTTGGCTGGTAGGTCTCTTATGTTCTTCCGTCCTCCCATTTATTTGTCCACAAAAACTGGATAATTTTATTCTGAGACTATGAAAACAATTAAAAAATTTATCAGTGTATGTTTTTTGTCAACTGTACCCCATTAGTGATATACAGTAATAGTACTATTTTCAGAGTTGCTGGCACTAGTTTATAATATTTTCAGAACACAGCTAGGCAAAATTTATCTAGATTTTTTAAAAGAAAAAGTAATTCCAAATTATTACAGCAAACTGTCTCCTTAACTCCCAAGAATTTCTAAGAAATTTAATGAACATTTATGTTTCTATTTGATATTTCACTCTTAAAAACTATTCTTTTTCTTAGATTTTCCTGATTCTGTGCTGCAGTATATTAAGTGGAAACTTTTAAACTTTCTAATTATATCAGGAATATGTATTACAAGTGGAGGTATGGATGACTATAGAAAAATTACTCCAATGTGAGGAAAATAATAAGCTAATGAAGCAATCAAAATTATAGAATATTCCTCGTTATGACCATTAATTATTTCTGTCAAATGAAAGTCATATGTTCAGAAAACAAGGAGAAAGTGCAGTTTGATCTTTCAATTTTTTTTTTTACTTGAGATTTGGTCAAATAAAAGCTTTAAAAATAATAGTTAAATAATTGATTCAGAAAAGCTGGATTATTGTTTATAAGAAAATAAAACTTTTGACCAATACCTAATTATTTCTAAATATAAAAAGACTGAACAGGATTATGAATATGAGAAAAATTATTCTTTTAATTAGGGAGAAACTTGCCAGGTGATATCTAATGACAGAAAAGAGTATAGCATCAGAGCAAGGTCACAGACACAAAGTCAGACATATCTGGGAGAGATGTTCTGCACTGCCATTTATTAGTTGGTGACCTTAGTGAACTTACTGAATCTCTATGAATATCTATTTGTTCATTTATAAAATACCTCTCCTCATAGTTTTTTTAAAATATTAAAAGTGTTAAAATGGTGCATGATGCATAGTAAGTGCTAAAAAAAAAAGCTTAAAAAGATACTCTACAATATGTGCTTCTCAAACTTAGGGTAGTTATACTCTTGTACAGCATTCTAATCAACTCAAAAAATGAAAGTAGCAATAAAAATGGAAGACATTGGAAAGCAATTTAAAACATCTCAAATAAGATTTATCATTTATTTATATTAATTTTTTTAAGATGACCAGTAAGAGGATCTTAACCCTTGGCTTGGTGTTGTCAGCACCATGCTCTCCCAAGTGAGCAAACCGGCCATCCCTATACAGGGATCCGAACCGGTGGCCTTGGTGTTATCAGCACCGCACTCTCCCAAGTGAGCCACGGGCCAGCCCTTCAGATAAGATTTATCATTTAACAGACTGCACATTAAGCACAATTGTTTGAAATAAAAATGAATTATTAGCTCAATTGGCTGCAGCATGGTGTTATAACACCAGGGTCAAGGGTTTGGATTCCTGTACTGACCAGCCACCAAAAAAAAAAAGTGTTTGAAATAATGTAAAACACTCCTCAACAGATATCTCAGGATAATTTTCCAATTAGGAATATACTCACGGATTCGAGATTTTATTTTTCATTAATTATCAGAAGCTCAAATTATTCTTAAATGAAGGATTTTCTTCCACTTCCCTTACTGTGCTGTGGGGTAGGAGGCTGGGGATAACCGGCTTCAGGAACTTGAACTCATTTGTCCCTGAGCCTCCCATCAGACACACCTCATACTGGTAGCTCTGGGACAGGGTCCCCGTACCGCTGACGTCCATCAGGTGGCCCGGAAAGCGGCCCCCAGGCACCGAGCAGCGGCCCTCCGACGCCGCCCCGCGCCTCCTGCACAGCCGCACCGCGACCAACAGGAGCACCGAGGACAGGAAGAGCGAGGTGACCGAGGCCAACGCGATGACCAAGTAGACGGTGAGCGAGTCGGCCTGCGCCTGCTCCGGCGCCGCTTCCGGCAGCGGCAGGTAGGGCTGCGAGAAGCCGTCCACCAGCAGCACGTGCAGCGTGACGGTGGCCGACAGCGGCGGCTCGCCATTGTCCTTGACCAGCACCAGCAGTCTGTGCCTGGCCGCGTCGCGCTCGCTCAGCAGCCGGGCCGTGCGCACCTCGCCGTTGTGCGCCCACACGCCGAACAGCCCGGGCTCCGTGGCCTTGAGCAGCTGGTACGACAGCCAGGCGTTCTGGCCCGAGTCGCCGTCCACCGCCACCACCTTGGTCACCAGGTAGCCCGCCTCGGCCTGCCTGGGCAGCAGCTCGGTGCAGGGCGCAGAGCCGTTCTGCAGCGGGTACAGCACGAAGGGCGCGTTGTCGTTGTCGTCCAGCAGCACCACGCGCACCAGCGCGTCGCTGCTCAGCGCGGGGGAGCCTCTGTCTGCCGCGCCCACGCGGAACTCGAACGCCCGCAGGGCCTCGTAGTCCAGCGAGCGCAGGGCGAACAGGTGTCCGCTGTCCGCGTTGATGGACACCAGGGAGGCGAGGGCCAGCTGCGGGTCATGGGTGGGCAGCATGTGTTCCTCTCTCGATCCAACGGTTTATCTGTTGTTAGTGTATAGAAATTGTCTACAGATGGCTTCAGGACGAAGGGGAGGTCGTCTTGGATGGAGCATATCATCTTTCCATTATTCCCTGAATCTCTGTCTCTGATCCTAAATACAGCAACGACTGTCTCTGGAGAGTTTTCTGCAATTGGGCTAGTAAGTGATGACAGGAGCAGCTCTGGTGTATTATCATTTATATCTGTTACCTCAACCACTACTGTACATTTTCCAGAAAGCCCTCCGCCGTCTTTGGCCTGAATAGTCAATGTGTAAGTTTGAATTGCCTCATAGTTCAATTCGTCTTTTAGATGAAGATTGCCGGATGTTGAGTTGATTTGAAACGTTTTGAGAATTCTTTCAGTGGCATAAAAAATTGCATAGACTATTTCCCCATTACTTCCGATATCTGAATCTCTAGCTGACACGGCGACAACCAGGGAGCCAACGGGGCTGTTCTCGGGCACCTGCACCTTGTAGAGCGACTGCAGAAATTCAGGGGCATTGTCATTTATGTCTACGACCAGGATGCGTACCAGGGCGGTCCCGGATCTGGGCGGAGAGCCGCCATCCAAGGCCGTGAGAGTTAAACTGAGCTCAGGTATTTCCTCGCGATCCAGCATTCGATCCAGTACCAGCTCGGGATAGATATTCCCCTCCCCGCTGTCATGGACATTGATATGGAAATAGGCATTGGGGCTGATGGTATAGTTACTCAGGCTGTTGGCTCCAACATCTGAATCCTGTGCACTTTCTAGGAGAAATGCCGCTCCAGGAGTGGCACTTTCTAGTATTTTCAGGGGAATCTCTCTGTCTAGAAATGCTGGAGAATGGTCGTTGATGTCTCTGACCCATAGTTCAGCATGGAAAATCTGAAAAGGCTTTTCCAATAACAACTGGAAAGGCAGCACACAGGGCTCTGTGGGGCCGCACAATTCCTCTCGATCCAATTTCTCATTTAGAAGTAAATCGCCAGTAAACGGATTGAGCAGTAAAAATCGTATGTTCTCGTCTGAAACAATTCTAGGTCCTCGGGCTGACAGTTCCCCCACGCCCAACCCCAGGTCATTTGCTAGGTTGGCCAGAAAGGTGCCTCTGTCTGTTTCCTCCACTGCAAAATACCGAAGCGGTTTCGCGCCAGCCCAAGACATTCCCAGCAATACACAGAGAAATAGGACTTGCCTTTTCTGCTCAACACGGTCCACTCTGGCCTCCATTATTCGTTTGATCAGTCTTCCAAAACCACTTCCACTCGGCTCAAGTAGCTCTCGGAAATGGCAGGAACCGAATCTCCAGAAACGAGCTGGATAATGGCAATGCTTGTGGGGAGGGATCCTCACCTTTCCCCGACTCCTGTTACCACGGTTTCTTTTCCTGTATTTTTTTGGTCAGATTTCCTTCTTACACCAGAATCTGTAACATCCTTTGTGCGGGAATTTTTTTTCTCTTTTTAGCCAGCAGCGCCACCTTGCGTTTTGTGAATGTTATTCCCGTTCTCAAGAATAGAACAAGATGGTGGATTAAAGGAATTCAACAGAATTAATTTTCCCCCAGTATCGTTGCTGTTTCTTTCCATCCTTTTCCTCAAATGGTCACAGTAATGCTAGTAAGTATTAGCTTATATTGTTTTCCCCTCTGGTAATCTGAATTCGTATATTAAAAAAAAATCTGTTGTTTTCTTAGATCTAGAGGCATGGAATTAAACCCTGGCTCCCCACCAAAATCCTAAGAATAACTTCTATTTTAAACGTTGATAGTAGAGAATATATAGGAAAATTAAGCCTCCATCAAAAAGTCAACAGATATTGGTTGAGGATCTTTTATTTATTTGTAGACGACTTAATAACGATGATCATACAGCAGAATAACTGGTCTTTTTTTTTTCTTGTGAATTAAACAATTCTTCAACTTCCAAAATCTATCTTCTGCACCCATGATATTTTCTGGCACACTTTCTGTCCCCATCCTTTACTCTTTACCTGCTTTAGGTATTCTATGTATATTAGTGTTCATATATAATGTCAGTGGTTAAGATCTCCAATATCCAATGAATACTCAAAATTAGTGGTAGTAAGTAGGTCAATTTTGCATTTGTGGAAGTGCTTCTAGTGTTTAATCTTTAACTATGATGTTTGATCTCAATATGGGTTAAATACTCCTATTTTGGATCAAGAAAGTTTTCTTTTTCTTTATTCTTTTATCTTTTAAGTAATTTTTGACATCTGTTAAATTTATTCTTTTATTCTTTAGCTTTTTAATTCTTGACTCCTTGATATAAATGATATTTAACCATGACGTCTTGTTGCTTTAACACAGAGATAGATTTGTTGTTCAACATGATTGTAGAATTTTTCTGGCCTGTGTTGTTCTGTGTGTGTGTTTAACTTCTATTGTTTTGGTATTAAACTATAATCCTGGCCTCACAGAATGGGTTAAGAAGCTTTCCATCTATTTTTATACAAAATGGTTTTTATAATTATATTATCTGTTTCTACATGCTTAATTACAACTTGCCTTTTAAACTGTTTGGGTTTGGTGGCTTCACTGGTGGTAGATCTATGACTACCTTTGGTTACTGCCTTTATTACCTTTGGCTATTAATTTGTTCAGGTTTTGCTTCTTTTTCACATTATTCATATTTTATTTTAAAACCTATTAATTTTATCTATTTGGCAAATTTGTTGGTATTATGTTTTCATTGTATTATTTACTTTTAGTTATATCCCCATTCTTATTAGTAATGTTGACTATTTTATCTCCTTTTTATTCTTGGTGAGATTTGCAAGAGCCCTATCTTACTGATATTTTTAAATGCTTTTTTTTTTCAAAATAATATATGACGTTGTTTCAAAATCAAATAGCACTAAGAGGTTCATAATAAATTTTAGAATAAAATACAATGGTTTTCCGCCTTTTCCCATATCATAACTTTTCCTAGTTTCCCTCCCAAGAAGCAGACATTTAAGAACTTTTAGTTAGCTCTTCTGCCACAAATATGTATTTTGATTAATTAATTTTAGACATTACCAATTGATTCATTATTATGTTGGATTAAATTTTAGCCCTTTCATGGCCTTCTTTCACTTGCAATATATTGTGAACATTGTTGTGTACTAATTGTATTTTTCTTTTTAACTTTTTTGAAGTTAATAATTGCCTTGCTTTTTTCTTTATTTTTATCCCTATCACTTATTCTTCCCACACTTCCAATTGCCTCTCAGTACAATTTTCCACATAGTCATTCCCTTCCCTCCTGAGATGCCAACTTTCCTTTAAATTGTGTGGTTGCTATCTATCCCTGCTGTATGGCTATCATCCTGGAACTTCCCTTTGCTTTCATTCTTGGAATTCTCTTCACCTTTGATTGGATTTCCTATTTCTGGGACTTTGTATCTTCCACTCTTCTGGTTTACTCTACAGCTTTAATAGATCACATTCTCCAATAGATTCATTTGATTGAAAAGATGATACAATGTCAGGGGGCTTGCTGATGATATCCTTCAAAATGCCTGTCCCCAAAGTCACACACCTCCAAACTGGACTAGTTTATGCCTAAGACATGGTTGTCATCCTGGGACATTCTTCAGTATCATCTGGAGATTCAATTCACTTCTGAGCTCTTTGGGATCTTCTCTTTTCTATTTCTTCTGTCTTTCTCTCTCTTGGATTACTTTCTCACTTTGATAAATATCTTCCAGTAGTTTCCAGAGAAGGGTGTGTAAGAGTTAGATTTTTTTGTGATCTGAGGGGTCCTAAAATATCTTTATTCTGCTCTCAAACTTATTTAGAAGTTTGACTGAGTATGGAGTTTTAGATTGAAAATAACTTTTCTTCAGAATTTTTATGTGTTATATCAATGAGCTACCTAAACCAATGTGTTTGCTAAGAAGTCTGAAGCTGACCTTACTTTTTACCCTCAATATGCAATGTGTATTTTTATTTCTTGTTTAGTGTCCTTTCTTGAAAAGTTATTTTCATGAAGTACTTCATGGCACTTGAATATCTCATTGGCTATAACTTAGTTACAAGACCACACCTGTCTGAAAGAGAGGTTGAGAAAAATAATCCATAGCCAGCATTTCTACATGGCCAGTTAAAAAATGGAGGTCTATTAGTAATAAATAACATGAGAACACATATTTGAGGGAAATTAACAGTCTATGTCATAGCCACTCAGGTCGGACCTATAGCCCCAACTGCCCACTAGAAGCAGAAGGGGTCAAATAAGATACTCGATTCAGATTGATTATTAGTGGAGCACATGACTGTATCTCTCCATACTGGTGTTGTACTTTGTAACCAAAAGAAATCTTGTTCCCCTGAAAGTTTAGCCTGAAAAGCAATAGAGTAATGAGTTCAATTGCTAGGACAAGGCCCTTTGAACCAATGATGCTTCCCGAGTGTGCTATTGGCATGTGTCATTCATTTCTACCTCATTTTATAAACTTTTAAAAAAATTCAGGGTCTGAAAGGCTTAAAATGCCATTTTCTAGACACCTTTGAATTATTATTCTGGATGTACATTGGGTTTTACCAAATGAGATTCCTTCATGTGAACCTTAGAAGACAGGCATAGGTCATCTTCGCACTGCTGCTGGGGAACTGGGGGCTATGGTGGCATCCGGACACTCTGTTCCATTGTGTAGTCATCAGCTTTGGAGGTGGGAGAGGACATTTTAAGAGCAACAGTTTTGGTAGTAGCAGTAGTATCAGCATCCTGATTTCTGTACTGTGGTTATGGTCGTATGCCTTCAGAACCCGGAGTTCAGTGTTGACATTCTCACATCTTCTTGCCCAGTTATTCAAGTGATTTATAAGCATCTAAGTTCTTGTGTCAAATATCTTTTTCTGGTTAGATATACATAGAGTAGTTTCTGGTTTTTGTCCTGAACTCTGAATAATTCACCCAATCTCAAAATTTCATACCTGTACTCAAATTATAAGGAATAGCAGCTTCTCAATTAGAGTTTGTGGGAAAAAATAGGTGTAAAACATAAAACCATCAAGCATAAGGCACTATTTTCTTAAGCTAAAACATCTTAGTTTAAGAATAAGGAAGAATAAAAATTGTCAGGTGTACTTCTGAGGGACTAAGGATAAAAGCATTTGATAAATTTAATATATATGGATTTTTAAAAAATAAACATGGTCCAAAGCTGAATGAAAGATAGTTTCTTTCTGCCTTAATGTGTAATATAATAAGTCAAAATTATTTTAAAAAATTAATTATCTATGAACTAATAAGAAAAGGACTCAACACTACATCACACATTTTAAAAGATGAACGCTTGCTCACATTCTAAATAATAAATTGTTAGGTAAGCAAAGCAAGTGTCAAATAGTTTAAATAGTAAATGAGCATTTCTAAAAATAAAGAAATAAAATATTTTGTTATAGTTTTTAAGCTTATTAAGCAGATGATAAAATAACATACTGAAATTCATTCATTAATTTGTTCAACAGTCACATTTATTTCAATATATATTTTTCTAAGCGCATCAGGTAAACAGCCTTCTCTGTGAATAGACTACTGTCTAGTGGAGAAGGGAGATTATTGTTTTGTCTGAGCAGAGTATGCAATAAATGGAACATTGCATACAATGGATTCAAAGAAAAATAATCTAATTAATATATGATGGAAAAACTGAATCTTCAAATTGAAAAGACATTAAACAAGCTTCTCATTTCTGAAAATGATGATTAAATAATTCAGAAGACCCTTCTGTGGAAAACAAAACACAACAGATAAAACTTTTTTAAAAAACTTCAAAAATATTGAGGAACTAAAAAATTAGTAGAAAACAGCAAAAAAAAAAAAAAAAAAAAAAAAAAAAAAAAAAAAAACAATTTTTGATGGAAGCCTGTAATAGAGGGGTAAACAGATCATAAAACTTTTTATTTCCTCAGGGCATTTGCAAATATTTGTACTTGAGCTTTGCTCCGAAGCTATGTGGGATTAAAGAAATGTAAACTGAGGCTCAGAGACAACTAAAGTTGCAGCATATTATAGAAAGATCCTCCCCATATTAAAAGACCCCACAGGGCTATATCCATAAATGTAAACACAGTATAAGCACTAACAATTCTAACTTTGCCCTCTCCTTCCAACACCAGAAAATTATATAGAAATCTCCTAGGTGTTAATTAGAGCAGAAGAAAGAAGGAAAGAAAACGTGCCTGGGAAGTTGTAGTTACAGATTGGTCCTCATGTATATTT